CGACTAGAATAAAAGCAGTTTTTAATTTATTTAACCATTTTTGGGACAAAATTATTAGCCCCATTATTTTCGATAGTCTACAGAACAAACCATCATTATACAATAGCTTTCCTAATTACCCCCACCTGCCTAGTTAACCTAGTTAAGCCTTTAAATGTCACTTTAGGCTGTATAGAAGTGTATTGAAGAATATCTAGTCCAATATTATTAACTGTCATCATGGCAAAGATAAAATAAATCAGTTATTAGAAATGAGTTATTAAAACTAGTATATGTTGAAATGTGTTAAAAAAGGAGGGGCTAATAATTCTGACTTCAACTGTATATAAAATAAGCTGAAACAACACAATTACTGAGTTTTTTTTGGGACAACTTAATTGTTTCATGGTCAATCCACTTAAATGTGTAAAAACTAATAAGCTAACTTAATTCCTTCATGTTGACCCAACACAAATCAATTGTGTGTAACCCAGCATATTTCACAGAGCAGCGTAAGAATACACACTTTACAGCTTTTCCTGTTGTTTTCAGAAAACCAAAGTGACAACTTTTTTTGTGAACGCAAAACTAGAAAAAAAAAAGAATCATTAAAAAAAGAGAAAGATGGCGCACGCTCCACAGACAGAGCAAAGCAGAACCTGTATAATAAAGGCAAGATTTTTCAAACATGGTTGCCATGTTTACAAGTGCCAGAGGGCAAAGCAGGACCTTTATTTCCCTCCTGCTAATTGTTTGATTTCTGTGCCACTTGAGAGTCAAGCGGAGAAAAAGAGAGTGAAAGAATATACAAAAAATAGAAGAGTAAGTGAAGAGAGAGAGAGAGAGAGAGCAAATTTGCAGAGATCACACATCGCCCCTTCTTCATTTGTCTGTAACATGACGATAGCTTGAGGCATGTTTCTCTCTGGAGCTTTGCAGAAATACCAAGCGGTGAAATCCCCTGTCGCTTGCCTCTCAGCTCACAACAACAACACACAAACACACACACACACACACACACACTTTCCATGTGCTGCTTTTGTTCTGATAGCTCCAACACCATAATGCAACCGCGGTGATAACAAAGTACGGTATGAAGTGGAGGTTTTGCTTCATTACATTAAGAAGGGCTCGAGACGGACTCTGGCGCACAGATGCATGATGGGTAGACGGTGGCGCTGGATGCACGGCGTGATCTTTAATCGCCCCATGACACCGAGGCTGTCATCGGTCTGCCTCCGCCGAGATATTGCGGTCTCCTCCTGCGCTGATCTTGCTTTCTGCTACGGCAGGAGTTCCTGTTAGCGAGTTACCGGGCAGAAGACAACACATTTAAGACAATCCACACAGCTGGATGGAGAGACAGGCCATTGAAAAGCTGCAAAAAAATGTGTGCTGGATGGTAAAGAAATAAAAAAAGGAGATGGCGGTCTCATCGCTTATCGTCTCGCGCTTATTATCATGCAAATAAACGTTAATCAAAAGACAGTTTTTAATCGGATTGCACTTGTTATTGTTCAGTGCTGCCTTTCGATCCCCCAAACAAAAAAAGCTGCCGGTGGGTTTTGGAGAAACTTCAGGCGCTTTTCTGTTCTCTCTCGACGGGTCGCCCCCCCTTCGGCTCACCTCAAGACCTGAACGCTGTCTCTTTAAATTAGCCGGGCGGGAGGGTGGACGCTAATGACAATCAGTGGGTCTCTTGTCTGTTGCCCCCTGACAAGCAGAACCCTATAGGAGATGAAAGGGAATAAATGAACTTTTTCGCCCTGCTAAAACAACATGATGAAGCAGGGTATGGATTGTGGATTAGCGCTCTGTCTTCATTGTTGGAGCATCCACAGTAATTAAAGCAGCAAGAGAAATCAGCGGGGAGTTGGGGATATAGATAAATAAACATATAGTGAATGCACAGCATCAGTCGAGAAACAGTGTTTGGGGAGATACTGTGAATCCTCACTTTGCAAAAGAGACGTGGATTTGTAATTTAAAGCCGTTCAGCTCAGTAGGTCTCTTTGGTTTTTAAGATAGATGATATTTAATATTAACAAAAGTAAAGCTGAAACAAATGTGATATTTATGGGAGTAATCTGTTTTTAATTGCGTAGGTTCAGTCTGATAATAGTAAATTCAGTCTACTATTTTAAGTAAACTGATTATTTATGAAGTATTTTTAGGTTTACTTTTTTGTTGCCCATCTTTTGTACTGTAAACATATTTTAAAATGTACTTAAATTTCTAAAATAACATATAAAAAAATGATTGCATGTGTAAGTTTTTAAACTATTTTCAAACAAAAATTATGAGATTTATTTTAACACTAAGGGCCTGTTCCACTGGAACGTTTTTTTTCTTTTTTTGGTGCGTTTTTCGTCGACGTTTAATGCTTCGTGACAAAATAAAGGGCCTTAATGTGATTGTGCACACCAATGCGCAAAATGTCAGGCGTAAAAGCATTATTTTTTGAAGAAATACCTCATACTCAATTTGTAATTTAAAGCCAATCAGCTCAGCAGGTCTTTTATTTTAATCTGTATATCTGAGTAAGTCTGAGTAATCTGTTTTTATTTGTGTAGGTTCAGTTTGATAATAGTAAATTCAGTCTACTAATTTAAGTAATCGGATTATGTATGAAATATTTCAGTTTTTCTATTTTATTTGCCCTTGTGCTCGTCTTTAACATACTATAAACATATTTTAGAATATAATTACATTTGTGATATGTTATCAAAAACGTTCTTACTTATGTGTAAGCATTTTAAACTAGCTTGATTTTTTTTAAACAAAACATTGTGAGATTTATTTTAAGACTGAATTATAAAAAACTGAATAAACTAAAGGAAATTAACAGATGATTAGGATAGTTAAAACTAAATATTACATGATATGCAAGGCGCTATATAATATAAAAAAAGTAAAAGCTGGTATGAACAAATATAATAATTATGTGAATAATCATTTTTAATTATGTGGGTTGAATAAATTTCAAGTAATTCACATTTTTACGGCTACAAATATATTTTTTACGGCAAAAAAATAATAATAATAATTGTAATGCTGAAATGTACAGAAATGCAGCTTTAAACATTGTAATCAGTTAACCTTCCCTGATAGACAGACAAACAGACAGACTTATTGACAGATAGACTCATTGACAGATAGACTCATTGGTGTTCCGGGCTAGAAAGAGGTGTTTTAAGGCACATTGCTGGCATGTTGCTATTTTGAGGAACTAAAATAGACCAGCTGAAAGTTCAGTATCTTAAACACTTGCATATTGCTTAAAACACACAGCATGTACAGCAATACACAAATATAATTAAAAATTAAAAAGAATTATAGGATTTAAATGAAAGAACAAAAATTATTATTTTCTACATGAATATAAAAACTACTGCCTCCATACCTTCTTCATCTCGGGGGCTTGTATAATGTTATTATTATTATTATAATTATTTTATTGTTATTATTATTATTATTATTATTATTATTATTATTATTATTATTATTATTACTAGTAGTAGTAGTAGTAATAGTAATAGTAGTAGTAGTAGTTGTATTTATATGTATATTTATGTTTGTTTAAAAAAAAACGCGTTTAGATTTGTCCACCTGTTGGTTTTTGGAGACATGCATCACCAAATGGGGCATAAGAATAGGTCGTTTGTTTGGACATAACTCTAAGTTTTATGAGCACACTTTATTATTATTGTTATTTTATTTGTTTGTTGTAAATTAGAACTAATTTTAGAAAAAGTTTTGAAACAACTCTTTGTGCTTAACAAACTAAATTAAATATGTGGGCTAATGGATGTCATTAGTGGAGTGTGTACAACACCGTACACAATCTCCACGAAAGTAAAGGAGTAAAGTAAAGAATAAGAAAGTAAAAAGTCGGAATGAAGGAGGCTCGTTCTTTATCCTTGTGCTGCAGATGCTCTGCTAGTTTTCTTGCTAGTGAAGCGTTCAGTTTTTCCACTTACAAAGTGCGCTATGTAAATAGCAAATGTGCCACAGCGCGGCGCAACTGACTCTTAAAGGGAATGAGAGATGAGACTCTGATTGTTTTAATGCAGGTTATGCTCAAAACACACCCACAACTCATTAAGAGAATAAGCACAACCCTGTTAGACCATACGTCAGTGCGCAGAGCGTATTTTTCCATCCTTAAAATAGCAAAAGTGAATTTGGACACCTTTTTAATGCTTTTGCACCATGCACTTTAGACTTTGCGCTTTTGTTTCAAAACTATTCCTTAATCATTTTTGTTAATGCAAGAGATGTTGATCTATTTTTCCCAAAACCATATTGCTCATCAACTAAAATGTTTCCATGAAATTTTTAAGACTTTAAGCAAAGAGTTTTTCCAATTTGTTTGAAAACTGGGATAGTATAGAAACCAGTACATAATCTGTAGAGTAGTGTTTATCTCCATATTTAACCTCTCACCGAGCATCAGGACGTGGACCCACTGGGGCTACTGTTTTTTTTAACATTTCAATATTTATGAATAGATAAAAAAAAAAAATTATTTGTAGAGAAAACACTTTCAATAATGTGAGTCTGAGTAAATAATGTGGACTTAAAAAATTTGTTTATTTTTTGCATGAAATTCAAAGTTTATTCAAAACCATTAGAGGTCAGAGGAAGGTGAACTGTACACAGCAGCACTGTTTTGTTATTGCTTGTGTTTGAGAATGTTGTTGACTGCGACTGACTTTAGCCATGTAGCCATGGGTGGAGTGCGCCAGATGCCCCTGCCAGTTTTTTGGTGCCTAGGCCCTGTCAGCTGCCAGCAGGCCCCTAATCCTTCCTAATGGGAATTGTCTTTTCAGCGCTAATTTAAACCCTCAAACCACGGGACTGCCTCAACCTGAAAGCGCTCAATCCCAGCAGTTTTCCTCCAGCCCAAAACCCCTCACCCCATTGACTAGCCCGAGCTCCACTCAGGCCTGGGGCCCTCCAATGCCTCTGCTACAACACCACCTTTCTGTCATTCCACATGCTGATTGTATTAATCTTATCTCTGTTTAATTACATTTTTCAGGACTCTTGCCGTCTGCCATCTTTGCTCGCAGTGGGAGTCACTGAGGGGCCCTCATTTCACATGCCATCTCATTTGGGTTCAAAAATCCCTGACGCAAGACACCCGGCCTCACTGGAGAAAAGCTGAAAAGGTGATTTATTAAATGTTTGAAGTTAAACGCACAAGTTTCACGTTTACAACCAAAATGTTTCGAATTGGGAGCTACATATTATACATAAATATCACATATACAGTTGAAGTCAGAATTATTAGCCCCCTTTGAATTGTTTTGTTATTTTCTATATATTTTTCAAATGATGCTTAACAGAGCAAGGAAATTTTCTGATAATATTTTTTCTTCTGGAGAAAGTCTTATTTGTTTTATTTTGGCTAGAATAAAAGCAGTTTTTAATTTTTTAAACACCATTTTATGGAAAAAAAATATTAGCCCCTTTAAGCTATATTTTTCCTCGATAGTCTACAGAACACACCACTGTTATACAATAACTTGCCTAATTACCCTAACCTGCCTAAATAACCTAATTAACCTAGTTCAGCCTTTAAATGTCACTTAAAGCTGTAAAGAAGTGTCTTGAAAAAAATGGAGTACAATATTATTTACTGTCATCATGGTAAAGATAAAATACATAAGTTATTAGAAATGAGTTAATAAACTGTTATGTTTAAAAATGTGTTAAAAAAATCTTCTCTCCATTAATCAGAAATTGGGGAATAAATAAACAAGTGGTTTAATAATTAAGGGGGGCTGATTATTCTGACTTCAACTGTATGTATGTATATATATATATATATATATATATATATATATATATATATAGTGCAATGTGGCTGTATAATGGCTCTGGTGGAAAAATACAGCCACATCGCACTGCTACTTGTGTGATATTGTGTTTATACAACAATAATCACGATTATTTTGGTCATAATTGTAATCACGATTATTCAAAATGATTACAGTTTAAGTCATAATTATTCGCCCTCCTGTGAATTTTTTTGGTGTTTAATGGTGTTTAACAGAGGAATTTTTCACAGTATTTTCTATGATATTCAAAATAAGCTTTTAAAATAAGTGTCACACACACATTGTAAGTGTAATTACAAGCTTAGATGAACTTAAAGGGAAACAATTATCAATGTATTATTATCTTTAGAAAAGATTGTGGCCAATCAAACATGCATATGCATATTAATAATCCCGTGTATTTGAGTTTTGTTTTGATTGGCCCATTAAACGCCAAGATCTTATACTCATGGGATTTACTTGAGTAGGAGGAGACAATGGTGTTTGAGGCTAACAGTATGCCATTTTCATATTAAGCTCTTATTATCTAGCTATTTATTTAGCTTCTCTATGGCAACTTTAGGAAAACATGCTACTACCATTTTTGACCAGTTCATTGTCAGAACTATTTTAAAAACACAAAGCTTCTTATTAAAAAAAAAATACCATGGTTTCCTCAGGAACAGTATTACGCGAACAAAACATACACCAAAATGCAGTAATGACTTGTGGACCTCTAATGTACAACCTGTATACAGTTGAGAGAGAGAAAAAAAATGACACTGATAAACAAGGCGACACTTGAGTGCTCTTGAATCTTTCATTTGAAGACGCAAAGGCAGATTCTCTGCAGAAAAGACAGGTGGGTTTAATTGCGTGATGTCTAATTTGGGCCTGTTAGAAGAGCATGTGTGTGTGTATGTATGCATGAGTGTGTGTGTAGTCCAGATTAACACGAGCAGCATAACAGGTGTGCCAGTGATTTACGCTCAGCCTAATTAACCCATTCCACCAAGGAGAGAGTGGGGAAAAATCACATGATTACCATGCAATCAGAAATAGTCTATTTTTCCCCATCTTGCTCTTTTTGAGCAAATAAACAACCCACGGCAGCTGATCGGGTGCTGGAGAATGTTGGTGATTGCGATGTCTGTAATACTTTATGCTAGGAACGGTGCTCTGGCATGAGGCAGAGGGTTACTTTTAACATTTATGTGGGTTAAACTTACTAATTACTTGTTGAAACAATAATTGTAGTCAAATTTAAATATCATAATATAACGGAATGTAATTTATTTCAAATATGTTGGCTTTAGAAAGCTAAAATACTTATGCTATTTAACCCTTTTAAAGAGCCCCTATTATACATTGAAAAGGTCATATTTTGGTTTTGGGTGTCTCCAACAACAGACTGATATGCATTCAAGGTCAAAAACACTTTCATTGTCTTATAATATGCATTTATTCTTACCTAATTATACCAACGACTCCCCTATTCGTTGAGCTAATTAATTTGTTCCCAAACTCCTCCTTAGCATGAGGCTAAGCTTCGCTGATTGGACCGATGACCCAGTCTGTTGTGATTGGTCGGCTTCGTTCAGTGCGAGATGTAGAGAAACGCCCACAACGGCTTATTAACAATTTTAAAGCAGTCAGAGTGCAGAGTGTATGTGTGAGCCCAGTGCAGGAGTGCATTAAAGCAGTGCAGTTTAACACCAGCATATTGCTCGATTCTTGACGCTCATTCAGTATTAATCCACACAGTGGCAAAAGCTGAACTATTTTGAAACTTGACCGCTGCACATGTAAACAGTAGGAAAAGCTGACGGTGGCCATAGCAAAGACAAAAGGCAGTGGGATGCAAGCTCACAAACGCATTTAAAATCTACAAGCAAAGCAGCACTCGTCCTGTTTTCAACATGGTTTTAGATGCAATTTGAAAATATAAAGTGTTCACCAGATACATTACAAGTGGTTACAAGTAACTAAACACAATTAAATACATGTTGCAAGCTAGAGAAAACAAGAAGGCAACCATGTTAACCATGCTTACTTACACTTGTAAATGGAGGTAAAAACTGATCCATAACCTGTGTACTGTACAGTTCCTGTCGAGCTTTGACAAAGTCTCATCTTGTTCTACTTTGTTCACTGATATCAGTTTTTCTCCAGCATTGGTTCTAATCACCAGACATTCATTCATTTTCAGGATTTTAACCATATAAATGGTGGTTAGTTTACAAAATGGCCCAGGTGTTTTTATATAAAAATATTTAAAAAATATTAGTTAATTTATTAGTCACTAAATATTCAGCAGATTATTGTTGTTTTTAATTTTGTTAATTATAATCTTAGATAAACAACACTATTCATTTGTATCATTAATATGCTTATCTAGGTTTAGAAAATACACAAACAAAAAATTTACTTGCACCCAGTTGGACTCATGCCTTAATCCTTCGTGGCATAGATTCAACAAGGTACTGGTAATATTTCTCAGAGATTTTGGACCATTTTGACATGTTAGCATCGCACAGTTGCTGCAGATTTGTCGGCTGCACATGCATGATGCGAACCTCCTGTTCCACCACGTCCTAAAGGCGCTCTATTGGATTGAGATCTGGTGACTGTGGAGGCCCTTTGAGTACAGTGAACTCATTGTCATGTACAAGAAACCAGTCTGAGATGCTTTATGACATGGCGCGTTATCCTGCTGGAAGTAGCCATCAGAAGATGGGTACTCTGTCATAAAGGGATGGACATGGTCAGCAACAATACGATGCTCAATTGGTACTAATGGTCTCAAAGTGTGCCAAGAAAATATCCCCCACACCATTACACCACCACCACCAACCTAAATTATTAATATAAGGCAGGATGGATCCATGCTTTCATGTTGTTGATACCAAATTCTGACCTGACCATCCGAATGTCGCAGTAGAAATGACAGGAGTGGCATGTGGTGTGGTCTTCTGCTGCTGTAGGCCATCCGCCTCAAGGTTGGATGCGTTCAGGGATGCTCTTCTGCATACCTCAGTTGTAACGAGTGGTTATTTGTATGATGCGAGTCTTCAAGTAATTACTAGTCAAGTTTGTTCTACTTATAATTACACTGTTAGTTCATTCATTGAGTTGCTTTCTGCTTCTTTGTAATTATCTGTAAAATTTGCCATAAATGTCTGAGCAGAATTGTCTTTGCAACATTTTTTTAACAGTCAATACAGTCAGCTTTTTTTGTATCCTAATCATGTAACACTTTTCCGAGTGACTCAACAAGCCTAATGCATGCCATGATGCACCAAAAAGTAAATAACACCGCTAACAGCTTCAGCGCACGCACTGATAGGAGCAAACCTGAAATTACACTTCATAATCATAACCATTGTCAGAGGTGTAGCAGCACAGGAAGTGTGAAGACGTCAAATTCCCCTGCCACTCAATTGTCAGACACGGTGAATTGGGCTCGTGATGCGCGCTTAATGTGCTGAAAAACTAATATAAAGGTGCTAAGAATACCACGAGCAAATATTTACATGCGCATAAAGGCAGCGCAAGACATCCCTAATGGTGTTGATGTTTGCTTTGAAGCCCCCTGTAAATTTCAGCCAAGCAAAATGGCCAAGGGTGTCCTGTTATGCATATTTTGATTTATTTGATTTATTTATTTATTTTTCCAGAGATCACACCTCACCTCCCTATTGGCATCCATGAAATCACCTGACAGACAGACGGAGAGCGAAGTCTCAATGGACGACGGGCTCATGTAATGGGAACCAGGTAAGAGTGTGTGGCACGTTGATTACAACTGCGCGCGTTTGAGGTTCAGAAGGTGTACGGCGGTGAAAAGGAGGCCAGCAGGCCACCGTCCAAATTACACAGGATTTCATGCACTTGTTCAAATCTGTGCTTCAAGTGGAGCTGTGAAATAAGTGTGCTGCTAGCCGGGCACATTTGAATAATTTGTCAAGGGATGGCAGAGATATCCTTTTGAAGGCGAGGTGATGGGATAGTGTGCACTAGACAGAGGCCGAGGGGGGTCGACAAGAGGACATGGCAAGGGCCCGACAGCTTCAAAGTTCTTTTTGCGATACCAGAGGAAGAATCAGATTTTTTTAGGGTTTTTTTGTACAGTGTCTAGATTTTATGCTGTAATACAAGTGGTGTATGTGCATGTGAGACATGCATAATGGATGCTAACACATAAAGGGTAACTGGATAGAAGAGCTTAAAATGATCTGATTGCTAAATGTAGCAAAAAATGCTATGCAAACTTACCTGATAGGAACCTAAGACAGCAAGAAGATTAAACGGAGAGCAAATGGGTATAGTCAAGTCGACTTGAAATCAGAGTTGACTGAGTTTACACTCTAAATGAGATATATATATATATGTATGTGTGTATATATGTTTAACATAACATATATATATATATATATATATATATATATATATATATATATATATATATATATATATATATGTTTTTAGTGGATAAAATTTAATTATTTCTAAATAAATCCACAGCAAGGATATACCAGTAGCACTGAAATGGAGGGGAGCAACACATCTTTACATATATCTAAATGTCAGTAGTGTGGACAGGGTGTCGTCTATACATTCATTACTGTAATGTTATTTAAAGCTTGATTTTACTCTACTTGGTTTTCAGCTCAGAAGACCTCACAAATAATTGTTTATAAGTCTAAACGTTATAACTGTTCTTTTTAGACTTTAATCCTAATTGTACCGTTTTGGTGACTGTCACTTTAAATTTAAATGAAATTGTGCTCCCCGCCCTATTTTCAAAAGAAGGCGAAGCTACAAACGCCTATGCTTCAGCATAGAGACAACTGTATTGTTTTTAAAAACTTTGAAATGTGTTTAAAAAGTTTGTGTTCACAGACCCCCCCCCCCCCCCCAAATTGACCTTATTGTGTAAAAGAGTTGCCAAAACACATAAAGGTTTTCAGTTATTAGACAATAATGGTGTCATGTAAATGCCCCTAAGTCTCCTAAAAGAGCAACCTTCGCACAATAGCACTTTCTTGGTAATTATCTAAGGTCGCCTGAGAATTGCGCTATCATCTCCTTTCTCCTCCGTTTGTTTTCTTTCTTTCCCTCTGAATGGCGTTCCGGAAACCGTGTGTGTTTTCACTGGAGAGCTGAAGACGAGCCCGCCACGTGTGTGACAGTACAAGAGAGCTCCCATAATGCCCCCCTTCAGCCGAAGATGGCTGAAAAAAGGATTAACTAATTCAATTAACAAACCAAAGTACTTTATAACTGTTAATTACGTGCCTCCCCTAACTGCTGTAAGGCCACCGCTTTCCTTTGTGTGGAGAAAAGCTCATCTGTCCTAATTGACCTCTGGGGAGCGTTCAGGGGGAGCAAACATCTTACGCAATCCCACAGCTTGTATAAACAAACTGACAATTCACTTTGGTGTGGAGTGACACCCTGTGTAACTGTGACACAAACTCAAATGACCCTGAATGTGTCCCTGGAGAATAGACCTCCCTGTCTCTCTCTCTTTCTCTCGCTCTCTCTCGCTCTTTTAAGAGGACGAGCTGAGTTAAGGGTACAACAGACGCTTTGGGGCGATTGCATGTTTTTTTGTTAATTGCAAAAGGAAGATTCTCTCACATTGCTGACACATCTTGTTTAGCAGCAATAAAGGAACAGGAATATTATTATTTTTTATTATTTTTATTTTTTGTGCTAGTTTGTTTGTTTCCAGTTTAGCCTAATTCATTTGCAATTTAAAGTATCAAGTTGCTTAAGCAGCCAAATTTTTATTTGCTTAGCCTACAAACAGCTTAGTACAAATGCTGAAATCCCATATTACCATAACATAAAATTATAGCAAATAAATACAGCTTAAAGCTTATCATACATACCATATACCCTAGAGGTATGAATAATTTTGGGCTTGACTATATATTTATATATGTAGTATTTTTTAAATATTTCTCACAGCATGTGATGTTTAATTTAGCTCTTATTTGGCATATATATATATATATATATATATATATATATATATATATATATATATATATATATATATATAATATTTATATTTTTATATTTTTATAAATAATAATATTTTTATTTAGTTTTAAAAATCATATTAAATGCAGTTTATAAAAGTTTATACATTTCTTTATATGAATAAATTTGTATGAATTAGTCACCAAACTGAAAAAGTGTAAAATAGTTACGTTTCCTTGTGAGATCAGGCTGGCAGTTCCTATAGTTCACTTGTTTGTTTGATATCTAATGCAGTGGCATTCAGCCAGTTTTAAGTGCAGCTTAAGTGTCTCAAACACCTCTTTAGGTTTCATGGGTAACTAACCGACTCTTTCAGACACTGCAGTCTCGAGCGTGATAATTGTTGGCAATATAAAAGCAGTGTGTTTTCTGCGCACAATGGAGGGAGGGTATGTCTAATTTGAAGACTTGACCATATCCTGCACTCTTTTTTCCATCCCCAAACCCATTACAAATCTCTGATCTAGACGAAACCACTGGTCATCCAGCCTCATTTCCTTCTTTTCCCAGGCATCATTTAACCCTCTTCGTCTTGGAGATCTCTCCATCTGTAATGACGGAGGGTTTGGTTCCATGGCTGCTTTTTAAAAATCATACATTTATTCATATGAATGAATTTGTATGAATTAGCCTCTAAACTGACAAAATCGTAAAAGGGTTCCTCGTGAGATCAGGCTGGCAGTTCCTAAAGTACACTTGTTTGTTTGATATCTAATGCAATGGTATTCAGCCAGTTTTAAGTGGGACTTAAGAGTCTCAAACACCTCTCTAGGTTTAATGCGTGACTAACTGACTCTTTCAGACACTGCAGTCTCGAGCGTGATAATTGTTTTACTGGCTGTTTTTGCAGTAAATAGATGTAAAGTTGCGGCAAAGTCTAACAGTGTAGCTCCAACGCTATCTCACGCCAATTCGTAACTTTTTAATTTAGTGGATAATTCCTATGCTCATCTCGCAATGGTGGTTGGGTGTATGGGTGGGGTTTGATGCCACGGCTGATTTTTAAAAATTGTACATTAGATTATACGAATAAATTTATACGAATTAGCCACCAAACTGACAAAATGTAAAATACTTACCTTTCCTCGTGAGATCAGGCTGGCAGTTCCTATAGTTCACTTGTTTGATATCTAATGCAATGGTATTCAGCCAGTTTTAAGTGGGACTTAAGTGTCTCAAACACCTCTTTAGGTTTCATGGGTAACTAACTGACTCTTTCAGACACTGCAGTCTCGAGCGTGATAATTGTTGGCAACATAAAAGCAGTGTGTTTTCTGCACACAATGGAGGGAGGGCATATCTAATTTGAAGACTTGACCATATCCTGCACTCTATTTTCCAAACCCATTACAAATCTCTGATCTAGACGAAACCACTGGTCATCCAGCCTCATTCCCTTCTTTTCCCAGTCATCATTTAACCCTCTTCGTCTTGGAGATCTCTCCATCTGTAATGAAGGAGGGTTTGGTTCCATGGCTGCTTTTTAAAAATCATACATTTATTCATATGAATGAATTTGTATGAATTAGCCTCTAAACTGACAAAAACGTAAAATGGTTCCTCGTGAGATCAGGCTGGCAGTTCCTATAGTTCACTTGTTTGTTTGATATCTAATGCAATGGCATTCAGCCAGTTTTAAGTGGGACTTAAGAGTTTCAAACACCTCTCTAGGTTTCATGGGTAACTAACCGACTTTTTCAGACACTGCAGTCTCGAGCGTGATAATTGTTTTACTGGCTGTTTTTGCAGTAAATAAATGTAAAATTGCGGCAAAGTGTAACAGTGTAGCTCCAACGCTATCTCACGCCAATTCGTAACTTTTTGATTCAGTGGCTAATTCCTATGCTCATCTCGCAATGGTGGTTGGATGTATGGGTGGGGTTTGATGCCACAGCTGATTTTTAAAAATCGTACATTAGATTATACGAATAAATTTATACGAATTAACCACCACACTGACAAAATGTAAAATAGTTACCTTTCCTCGTGAGATCAGGCTGGCAGTTCCTATAGTTCACTTGTTTGATATCTAATGCAATGGCATTCAGCCACTTTTAAGTGCAGCTTAAGTGTCTCAAACACCTTTTTTGGTTTCATGGGTAACTAACTGACTCTTTCAGACACTGCAGTCTCGAGCGTGATAATTGTTGGCAACATAAAAGCAGTGTGTTTTCTGCACACAATGGAGGGAGGGCGTATCTAATTTGAAGACTTGACCATATCCTGCACTCTATTTTCCATCCCCAAACCCATTACGAATCTCTGATCTTGAAGACACCACTGGTCATCCAGCCTCATTCCCTTCTTTTCCCAGTCATCGTTTAACCCTCTTCGTCTTGGAGATATCTCCATCTGTAATGACGGAGATTTTGGTTCCATGGCTGCTTTTTAAAAATCATACACTTCTTTATATGAATGAATTTGTATGAATTAGCCTCTAAACTGACAAAATCGTAAAATTGTTCCTCGTAGATCAGGCTGGCAGTTCCTAAAGTACACTTGTTTGTTTGATATCTAATGCAATGGCATTCAGCCAGTTTTAAGTGGGACTTAAGAGTCTCAAACACCTCTCTAGGTTTCATGGGTAACTAACCGACTCTTTCAGACACTGCAGTCTCGAGCATGATAATTGTTTTACTGGCTGTTTTTGCAGTAAATAGATGTAAAATTGCGGCAAAGTCTAACAGTGTAGCTGCAACGCTATCTCACGCCAATTCGTAACTTTT